ATCAAAGGAAATATAAAAAATTCTAAAGTATTATTAATATCTACAACCATTCACTTTACTTATATAATTTATCAAAAATTTCAAATATTTCTTTATCCATTATAATCAAATTGATTCATCTTCTATAATAGATGACTAAAAATCAATCATTATAAGTATTGTAGATTGAATATGACTTCATGAAAGTTTTCGAACATGAGTTGTGTCGAGATGAAATCATGCCCTTGAATCTACAAGAAATCAGCTTTGAAAATATTTTCTTATCTCAAATCAATAGAATTTTGAACGTTCAACTTTTCAATCCACAAACAAATGACCTTGAGTACACAAGGACAAAAGGGTTCCTTGAATCCACAAAGGAGGAACCAAAATCTACAGTAGAGAGATAAAACCTTAGAAGAGAAATAATTCTTGAATAAATTAAATGCTTCAAGATATGTAAGGTGGACTTTAAATAGTTTTAAAATTAATTAGACTGCTCCTAAAAATACCGTTCTATTATCATGAAACATTAATTTTGAATTAGTTAAAAGTGAGAAATAAAAAATAAAACCCAGAAAACTAAAGTTGGAAGTGGTTCAAATGTATTTTATTATGCGCCATATTTGTTATTGGGCTAATTTGGATTAGAATTGAACCAACTTGGGCCATAAATGCATTACATAAGTCTCTCCTATTTTGGAAGAACTTGTCCCCAAGTCTTCATATATTTCTAGATAATAGCTAGATAGATTCATAACATTATATATCACAAGTTAATGATGTAGGTATTGTAAATAATTTTTGAGAGTACCCCCAATGGTTCATATTTATTCAAACTTAGTTTGCAATAACTACTAGATACGAGTATCTTTTCTCAAATCTATTATAATTACATCTTTTTTTCTTTTTATCAACATTCTCCTTATAATTAGTAAAATTAGTTTAAAGATATTTCTTGTCACTTTCTTGTATTATCTTAATATGTTTTTATATTTTATTTATTATTATTATGGATAAATCTATCAAATATAGAGAGAATTTTGAAAGAAAATAATGAATAATAGAAACTAGAGACTTAGTAAAATAACTTACTATAGAATTATAAATAAATTCTGCTTGAGCTAAGAAAAAATCTTGTTATTTTATTCTTCTCAAAAAATATAATGAATTATGTTGCCAAGTATCATGTTGACCACTTATATTTAATTGATCATATGTTTGGAGCTGATTTGTAGTGCTAAATTTTAAACAAAATTGAACCTATTCCAAAGAGTATACTAGAAATGTGAGAGAAACTTTTAATCTAGATATAATGTAATTAATTATGAGATTCTAATGAAACAAAATATCTCCTTGAAAAATTAATTGGCTATCTATATTGCATCAATTGTCTTATTGTGTAAAATAAAATGTGTAATATTTGAAAAATGATTTACAACCACAAAATGGTTTGCTTTCCTCAAAGTTTATCATAATCCTAAAATCAAATCTATAGACATATTAACATATACTCACTTTGGAATTAGAAATGGAGTATAAAATCTAGTATTTTTCCATTGTCCTTGGTTCACTTGGTAAATCTAGCATATTTGCATACGATTTTTCACATCCTTCTATAATTGAGGTCAAAAATAGCATTTTTGTACTAACCTAGTTTTGTCTCACCCAAAATGTCATCTTAATCCTCAGATATGTAATTCACATATCAATTTCTCATGTTGTGAGTTAACATAACTAATTTGATACATTGAAATCAATAATTATATTAAAAAAGGAATTGAAATGCTGATTTTTTGCTAAGTACATCTGATTTGTGTTTGATGATAAAAATGAATCTTTAGTGAATGAAACCCATCTTCCATGGATTTTACTCACACCAATTTGATTATTAATGGTCTCTAAAGCCTGATGACTAGAATATAAAATAAATTCTCATTGAATAAGATCGTGCTCTCAAATATGTAATATTTTAACCAAAACATAAAACTCTTATTCATAACTTGTCCACTTTTCTTGCATTATTGAGTTTTTCTTGTCAAAAGTAGTTGGATTACTTTCTTGGGATAAGACAACACCTACCCCCATAACTAATATCTCATTCAATCCCAAATAATTTACCATAATTTAGGAGAGTTACTACTAGAGTAGGGCATTTTTTTTAATGAGAATGAACATTTTATTTGTTGTCTCTATCTAATTTTTTTTATTAATTCATACATTTAGTAACTTAAGTCATAATAAAAAAAATAAATTTTATTATAAATATTTTATATAAAAAGGTTAACCGAAAAAAACTATGCACTCCTTGTACATTTTTACATATTGGCCAATCTTTGATAGCTTGTATCTTCTCTTCATCAAGTTTGATGACATTTGTATTGATTACATACCTGAACAAGACTAAATTTGAAATCATAAAATTATATTTGACATAATTTTTAAATCATTTATTTTAGTCTAAAATTTTTAGCTTGAATTTCAAGTGAAAATATGACCTTAATTTTTGGTATTATATATTTGGATGTTATAAAGATAAATTAAAATAACCTTCAAATAAATAATTTTGTGTACCTAGTTCCTCATCTTCATAAATATTTTTTAGATTTTTGATAATTAAATGACATAAACAATTATTCATAATGTCTTACTTTTGCCTTAAAATTTATTTTTAATTGTCACTAGGAAGAATTTAGATTTTATTATAGCCACTTTTCATATAAACTTTAGATAAAGATTTTGAGCCATAGAGCATAGAAGCATACAATGAGATATACTTTTCATCTAATCTTTGACTTTAAAATTTGTATTTAATGGTAATCTTGTTAATTACTCTATCTATCAATAGACATGTCAGCTTCCATATTTTTTTGGAGCTAATTATTAAGGAATGGGTAGGGGCTCACAGTTTCACAAATCGGACCTTTTTCTAGTAATTTTTTGGTATGTTCTTTTCAAAATTTTGATTTCATCAAGATTTATTCAATAGTGAGATAATTTTTGGAAATTGCTCTTGGAGTTAAATCAATATGTTGATGTATATCTCTTAGGGGAACAAGATGATTTGAAAAATCTAGGATGATAGTGAAATAATTTAAAGGTATGATTTGAACAACCTTAGCTATAGAATTTGAGAATTCAAAGGTATGATTCATCTTTTTACCTGCACAAATAATTCAAACATTTCATTCAAGTTGCCAAAGAGTTGTTTTCTATTAATCATCATTACCTATTTCTTTTATCCTTCATAGTATTTGAAAAATCACTATCTTTTATAGGGCATAGAATAAATTTCTGATTATTTTATAGAAAATGTATTATTTTCCTTACCTTGATAATCCACATCTAAGTCGAATTGCTAAAGTCTACCTAAAATAAAATGACATACATCCATGTTAATCACATTAATTGAAAAATTCAATAGGTAAGTATGTGACTCTTGTTTCAAAATCCTTCTTTATCTAATCAATCTTGCATGAATGTAGATAGTTTTAGTTTTCAATCTGAATTTTCAGATCATAACTGAATAATCAATGTTTTCATTACTACCAAAGTCAATAATTATGTCACATGAATATAACATTTTGTTTTGAATATAATATTTCATTGTGGATGTTCCTCCTTTCGTTTGAAAATTTTCAATATTTTCTAAATCATTATTCTCATCTTCTTAAGTTATTACTCCAAAATTTACTACATCACATTTTAGACAAACATTTGAGTTGTGTTTATTACAATCATAAGATTTGATAATAGGGTTATAAACATCAATAGTTTTTGGAGTAAATTCAACTTACTTCTCAATTTTCAGTATATTCTAACATAGATCTATTTCCTTGTCTATGATTATATATTACTGATACAAAATTATAGTCATAATCTTATGAAAAAAGAATAGATTTAAGTAATTTCTTCATTTTATCTCAATTACGAACTCAATCTTTGCTTGATCTGGTATGAGGGATTGAAGTTGATCTCACTAGGTAGAAGCTCGGTCCTTTAATTTATAAGCAACTAATTTCATTTGTTTTTCATCACTAATTTTTATTTATTCAAAAAATATTTCAATCTCTAATATTCAATCAAAGATTTTCTCAATTTTCAAACAACCATTAAAACTAGGTAAACTGATTTTCATGTAAAAATATCTACTATCACCATCTTTAAATCTACTTTTTGAACTACGTGTCATTCAAAGTTTTGTTGGTAATAGAATCCCAAAATCTAAGATATGTGAATAAAGTTTTAGAATAGATATATGAGATAAAGTCTACTTAAATGTATTATTCATATCTTCAAATTTCTTAGCAATACATTCTTGAAATAGAATTTCCATCCAAGAAAGGAGACATACCTAATGAACTTCGTTCTTATTAATATGTAAGCCATTATCTCATGATATCTTTAGATATTAATCTAGATCATGAATCTTAGATCTAATACTACATGTTGCAACCTACACTGTGTGGAGATGAAATCATATCCTTGAATCTACATGAAACAAGACTTGTGAAAGTTTTGTCACCTTGAATTCACAAAATTTTGAAGCTTTAAACCTTGAATCATCAATGGAGTGATCTTGAGTCCATAATATCAAAAATATTGTGTTAGACACCCCCCCTCTTAAAAGGTGGTTATATTACTATGACATTTTATTTTGAATTTTAACCTATTTAAATAAATTTTAACTAATGAAAAGTGAAAAATAAAACTAAAATTAGGAAAACTAAATTTAGAGCCCTCCGCTAGTTAGTGGTTCCATCCAGTGTGGTAGTGAGTGCTCCTGAGAAGCTGCTTCCGGCTGTGTGGAACGAGGGCAGCTGTAGGTCCCACAACTTAGTGCACGGTAGCAGATGACTGGTCTCATTTCTAAAATGCGCCAAAGGTTGCCATTCGAAAGCGGGTTTCAGACTCCTCAATTCAAAATGCAGACAAGAAAGGTTGAGGGGATAGAACGCAGGCGGATAACATAGAGAAGCAGCCGGGTGGAGAGGAAGGAGTGGGGGAGGGCCCCGGCGGCGATGGCGAACCTGCGGATGGCTATGGACGCGGCTTTCTGGGACGTTAACCTGGCTTCTCCGCAGTCTCTGGTGGATGGCGTAGTACGGGCTGTACCGGGAGAACCAGTGCCGCTCGATGGCGCCCGCGCGGGGCGGACAATACGCCCCCTCCAACTCGCCTTCTTCCACAACGCATTCCCATTGGGCCTTACGCCGTCATTCTGTCCAACCTTGAAGAAGGAGCAGGGTTCCTTCGCCGTGCAGTCTCTCCTGATTGGCCCCTCTCTTGGCGACTGGTACTAGTTGTGTTATCTCTTGGTTTCTAGTCTCTTGCTGTGCTGACGGTGGCAGTGGTTCGAAGAGTTGATGTCTTGTCCTATAATGTTTTTTCCTCCAGTTAATGACCCTTGCTCTATGCTGAGATTAAGTATATACTTACTCGCCAGCGTTGCACTTGTTTATCGTTGATTCTTGAATCTCATTGCAAACCAGATGGTCCGAATGAATTTCATCTGCCATCAAAATAAATTAGGCGTTTTCATGACCCCCCTTCTATGTTTTTTTGAATGGAATCCCCATATCTACCTACAGTTCATCTGTATTCCTCCGCATGAGCTTTCTTAAATTTCTGTTTCCGTGGTTGAAATTTAGCCTTATCCTTGCTAATGATGATTAATATCTGTAGATTCTTTGTTTTGCATATCATTGGTGTACTTACTGACCGTATTTGACAAGGACCGAATGGGAATGCACTATCTGCAACCTCTGAAAGCACGAAAAGGATTTATATAGTAAAGCTGAATTCATGTTATCACCATATATTCGTCGATTCTGACCTCTGAACTGCACTTCGCTTTCTGATTAGCATTGGTACCGTGCCCTTGGTTGTCATGTTTTCTAGGTGGACGGGTTTGATTGGGCAATTCCGACCGAGGAAGCTCATTTCATCAATTAAGTCAGAGTTGGCGAATGCTGATGAGCTGGACCTTGTTGCACTTAGAGATGTTGCGAAACATTTATTGGACAAATCTCTATATGCAATTGGTTTGTGCTCACAATTTTCCCCAACCCCTGATACCTCTTTGCTTTTCAGCATTGAAGGTCACGGTGAAAAGGAGAAGAGCCGTTCTAAAGCAACCTTTATCCACAAGGTATTTACCCATAAAATTGCTTTTAACAGTTTCAGTTGACTATATAATTAGATATTATGGTTTGAGATTAGTGCGCCTAATTTTCCCTTTTTTGCATGGGAGTTAGATTCCTCAGTTTCCATCTGGACAGTTTTCTCATAGGAAGTATGATGCTTTAATATTCCTCTATTTTTTTTACTGTTCATGATTTCTTTCACCCAGTTGTATATTTTCTCCCCTGTCAGTATGATGGTCTTTAAACAGTGCATCATTTCACATTTTCACCTTTTCCTCTGGCGGCCTGTTTCTCAGTAAGTTTTCTAACATGATATCCTCTGAGGCAGCTTCCCAATCACGATGTCACGGTTGAAGCTGCATGGCCTGAGTTATTTATTGATAAGAATGGAAAATATTGGGATGTCCCCAGTTCTTTATCCTTGGATGTGGCATCTCTTGTTTCTGACTCTGGATTGAGGTATCGTTTTGGTTTGCACAAAAGTAGTGGTCATCCTCAACCCCTTAATTCTTCAGGTAGTGATGACAAAATACCATTAGCTTTAATGCCTGGGTTTTGTGCGAAAGCTGCATTGTCTTATGAAAAGAACAGAGATTTCTGGAGAGAAAAGGACAAGGATTCTGGAAGCAATCTTGAAAAAGAAATGCCTTGGTTGTCTCCATATGATGAACGTCTAAAAGAACCGCATGCATCAATATCAGCCATTCTGGGTAAGACTGATTATTTGGTGGAATTTTCTTATTTATCACTGCTGATTGATGTATGTTGTATAGTTTATACACCAAAGTTTGCACATATATTATCTTATAATTTTTTCCCAAAAGGTCAGAAAAACTTTTGCTTGTTTTGTAAAGGCCAAACAATTGTATTTCGCAACGTAATGGTGTCAAAGCCTCAAACATCATGCCCAATAATGTAAATCTTATATGTCCTGAAGACTAGTTTCAGACATTTCTTGAAAATTAATGATAAGCAATTCATGATCTATATTCTTATGATTTATTCACTTATAGATAAGGAAATGTGGATCTTGACCAATGTCAATGCTTGATGACTACATGGTTCACTCTTTTATTATTTTTTTAGAATGTTCACATAGATATTCTTGTTGAATACAGAGAAATTAATTCATCTCGTTGTCTTAATAATGTTACTGAGATGCATGATTATGCACATATTTTTACGTAAATTGTGTTATTTTATCTGTTGGAGATGGCATGCACTATTAGATCTACAAGCATTAATTTATTTTCTGTCGCAAGATAGGCAATTGTTGCTACTGTTACAAAATTTCCTGTTGTTAATCATCTTTTCGTCATCTTCCTATGCGAATTCTCTCATGTTTGAAACACCATCCAAGTTAGTACAAGAGGACATCAAACTATTGCTTTCAGAGATAAAGAGATTACAAGTTACTGTAACAGGACTATCTCCAGCTTTCATAATGTTTTACTGTTAACTATTCCGATTCGTGCCTGCAACAGCGTCCTTGAAGCATTTTCTTAGTTTAATAGACATTTTTGGTCAGTAACATATTCATGTTCATTCATAACATATTGAAAATTCAGCTATCACTTTTATGCACGAGTTGGAATCGGAATATTTGGCTTCTGACTCATTAGATGCCCTTTCTCATACCAATGTAACTAGTGGTCCATTATGTTTCAACCGTTCGTGGCCAAGTCAAAAATGAAAAAAGGGTTGTAGGTTCTTACATTTTTCCTGATGCCAAAGTTTGTAGAATAACTTGGTTGCTCTTCTACCATTATGGATTATAATTTCTAGGATACTTCAGAAGCGTGCACCTTTATCCAGAAACTTCACATCCCAGTTTTCTATCTGTTGATTTGTAAGGACATGAATATATTGATTCAATTAATGACTGAAAATTTTGCAGTCTTCTGATAGGACCCTAGTACTGATTGTGTTTTTTTGGAATATAGAATGCTACAATATTAAATTAGGGAGCATTACGAGCAGCTTCTTTCTATATGAGGGTTCTTTTCAATTGTTTCTTGAACAATTAACTCTGGTTCAGAAAGTGGCTTTTTGGTTATCTTTTTTCATCTGCTTTCAGTCAAGCTCATCTACTCTTCACCTTGCGCCATTCAGGCGGATCTTGTGCTGCTTTGTTCGGAGGAAATCAAGAGGACGATGTTAACTATGCCCAGGAAGGAAATGGAACGATTAATCAGAGCCGAAATTTCAGGAGAAAGAGGAATCCATTTTCTGGTAACGTTTTTGGGTCAATGTGCTACACAGTACAGCACGGTAAATTCACGGAGGATTTTAATGACCTGACACGATTAGATGCCCGATTGGACTTTGCGTCAATCCCGGCATTTATTAGAGGTGCGTCTCGTCTGCTGTATGATGCATTCAGAGGTCCGGCTGAGCAGAAGGCTAGTACTCTTGCGTCTCCAAAGCTAACTTTGATCCTTCAGCAACAGGTAAATCTTCCATTTTCCATCATTTTTCTGATTTTTGGATTTCCTTGGGAGTATATGGACTTTTATCATTCGTACCCAGTTGTCGTTACATTGTGAAGAGCACGAGTCTCTCTGTCTGCAACCTGTACAGCTCCGGCCTGGCTTTTAGGGTCCAGACCTTAGAATCAGTCCTGGGTATACAGATTTTGACTAAATCTAGCCTGGCCTTGGCTGCCCCTGTTGACTCCTGCGCAGGCATAATTGGTCTGATGGGTGATGGGTCTGTTATTAAAAATAAGGTGCATCCTAGAAAGTAGAGATTAGCCCTTGTCTAATCGCTGATGTCGAATGGTTTCTTCATGACGCCAGGGATGCAAGCAGGTGAGAAAAAACAGTTGCTGATCAAAACACCCCTAATCGATGTTTGACTTGTCAATATTTGTCAATCTGCCTGCAGGTGGCAGGTCCGATTGTGGTTCGGGTTGACTCCAGGCTTGCATTCACGTCGCCATCTGGAAAGCATGCTCCGAATGTTGAGGATATAATGTACAGCTTGAGTTACTCCCTTCGGATTCTGCGGTCAGGCAAAATCTTGGCTTGGTATTCCCCAAAGAGGAAGGAAGCGATGGTTGAGTTGAGGCTTTTTGAATTCTAGTTCCTCCTCTCTCTCATTCAAGTTTAGGCGGCTTTAGGCTCTCTTACTTACTCGACATGGTCGATGTAATGTGAAGCTGGAACTATTTGGTATTTGTTTTTATTTCCTGCTGCTGCCCTCCCTGCGTGCTCTCCAGGGTGGGTCTATTTGGTATTTTTTTTTCTTGAATGCTGATGTACATTAATACTATAAGCTCCTTGATAGATTGAGCTCTAAGGGACTGACTCTAAAGAGGAAAGCTGAACCCTTCCCAAAAGTTTCTCGTCAGATTTCCTTGTCTGACTAAGAGCAGATTTTTGGAATTGTCATCTTTTTATGTATTTATTATTATTATTATTATTATTATTATTATTATTATCATTATTATCATTAAATTGTTGAAGGGTCAACTGCGCCTGTGTTCTAAAGCCCTGATTTGACGGGGATCCCAATATGGCTCACCTTTACCCAATAAATCACTCCAAACCGTCTCTCCTCCTCTGCTTCCTCCGCCGTCATCTTGTCGCCGCCGCATGCCCGGGGGAGAAGCCCCTTCTCCCCTCTCGCGACCGGCCAGCAGCTATGGCATCTGACGCAACACGTCTTGCGCAGCTCCCTCCCCGTTGAGAATAGGAAGTGATTCCCAGCTCCACCCGCTCTCCTTTTTCAGTCTTCGCATGCGTGCTTATTTACTGCTGGTATTGCTCCTGATGCTAATAGATGCCGTCCGTCGGAATGGTGGGAGCCACAGTTCCTTGGAATGCTGGTAGATGCCGTTCGTTCCTTTGAGAGAGTCGGGTTTGCTCTGTCGTGTGGAGATTACAGAATCGGAAGGCTTTCGCCTAGTTGGGAGAGGCCGGCCGGAGACAGCCGGCGGCGGATTTTCGCTCTCGTCAGTAAGCCTCCTGCCCCAATTCTTGTGTGCCTTGTTCCTTCCCAATCTTCTCTCGATCGTGCGTTGTCTTCTCGGATCCGGCTGCAGATTGATGATCCGTCTTCGTCGGACGCGATTCGACGAGCTACTAAACTAACTATTCACGTCCCGAAAGATATGAATAGATGTATAGCTTTTTCGGCCTGCTCGGAGGGAGTGCGACTGATCAAGCCGAATGGATGATCTCGTCCCCATGGAAATGGATCATTTCTGTCGATCTCATTTTTCCGTATTTCGGATCGAGCAAATCGACGATGCGTTCTCATTTTGATCTCCATGAGGTTGGTTCATACCATCCCCGCTTGTGGTTCTCTTGCGGCCCAAGGAAGAACACTTGTTGCGTTCTACAATGATCTTATGCTCATCGGTCCTCGAGTTTCATCTGCAACTCACCCCGCGAAGCTACTTACCTCTGCAACAGCGACCATCTGATTCGAGCTTTCTCGTCAGGTCACAGCGAAGGCATGCTCAAGGCCCCCGATCATCAGGTGGCCGGGCATCAAGCCCGAGAGGGCCAGCTCGGCCCCCTCGTCGACGATTCGGGGCGTTTCTACAAGCCACTCCAGAACAATGGTCGCGGATCCAAGGAGCTCGCCTTCTACCGCTCCTTTTTCTCCGACCCTAGGGTGCCCCACCATATTCGGAGGTTCTTTCCCCGCTTCTTCGGAACCCTGGTTGTGGAAGCTTCAGACGGCTCCGGCCCCCAGTCTCACCTGGTGATGGAAGACCTCGTCTCGGGGCTCGACCGTCCCTCCGTGGCCGACATCAAGATCGGCTCGAGAACTTGGTACCCCCACGCCAAGGAGGACTACATCGCCAAGTGCAGCAAGAAGGACAGGGAAACCACGAGCTTGACCCTGGGTTTCAGAGTTTCTGGTCTGCAGATATACGACGAGGACAACGAAGCAGCGACAGGGGGGTTCTGGAAGCAGAGTAAGAAGCAAGTCCAGGGTTTCACAGCGGAGGACGTGAGAGGAACCCTCCGGAGGTTCGCCTCCTCGAACCCATCCGCTGCCACCGCCGCCACCGCCGATGGGGAGGAGCCAGACTGCGCTTTTGCTGCGGTCGTCTACGGCGGCTCGGGAGGCATCCTGGCACAGCTGCTGGAGCTGAAGGCTTGGTTCGAAGAACAGACAATCTTTCATTTCTACTCGGCCTCCGTGCTTCTGCTGCGCGGGAACGGCGCGACTGAGGCCGCAAGAGTGAAGCTCGTGGACTTCGCTCATGTGTTCGAGGGAGATGGCGTCATCGACCACAATTTTCTGGGCGGGCTGTGCTCTCTGATCAGGTTCATTTCGGAGGTCCTGTGCGGCGGCAGCGACGGCCGCCCCCACCCGGAGAAATCCTCTGCTGCTGAGAATGGTGGGCAGGGGGTGACGCTCTCCGGCGTCTGAAAATTGGGTCACAGCATTTTTACATCTTCATTTATATCTTCAGTAGAGACATTGGTGGAGTCAAGTCATATATCTTCTGCTTCCTCTTCAGCTTTTACCCGGCCAGGTTGTCTCTGTGCTTGTGGTTATGTTGCCCGTGTTCCATTCAGAGAGGGCAGGAACGAGAGCGGAAGAGAGTAGTTAATTACTCCCCAAGGGTGTGTGCCCTTGGGGAATAGTTCGGCAACTCTGTGACCTTAGCTGGGCAACTCTGTACTTTCTGAGGCCCGGCCGGAGCTGGCGGCGGTCCCTTGGCTCTCAGTGGGCTTCTGATCCATTCACAGAGAAAGGTTAGATACGTCGGAGAGAAGAAAACAGAAAATGCTGCGCCGTTGTTCTTCTCTTTCTTTCTCTCTTTCTCTCTCTGTCTCTCCCTCTCGCGCGCGCGCGAAAGCGCTTTTGGGAATCCGCTGGAGGTCTCTCTTCTACTACTCCGGGATCTTCTTCCGTGTCAATGTCCTGTCTGCACCTCTGCGCCACCAGTGGCAGTGGCCATCCTTTCTGGCCGCGGCCTTGTTCAACCGTCGGTTCATCAGTGGCGCATGTCTCGTCCCCCAGGGACCCCCGCCACTTCCCGGAGCGCTGCCGGAGACTGCCACGCTTCTCCCAAATCTCCAACCCCAAATGCCACAGCGGGGAACTGGTGGTGGTGTCGAGTGCTCAGATGCACTTGGGGGGCACGGGAGGGACCCTCGTCTACCCCGACGACCACTGGGGAATGTGGACCGCACTCTTCGCGGCGGGGGCTCTCGGGCTGTGGTCCGAGCGGAGGACTCGGCTGGGGAGCACGCTCAGCGCCGCGGTGGTGAGCACGCTAGTGGGACTCGCCGCCAGCAGCCTGCGCGTGCTGCCCAGCGAGGGGGCGCCGGCGTACGGCGTGGTGATGGAGTACCTACTTCCCCTGGCCGTGCCTCTGCTTCTCTTCAACGCGGACCTCCGCCGCATCATAAGCTCCACCGGGATGCTGCTTCTGGCCTTCCTCCTTGGATCAGGTAGAGGGAGGGACCTCTTTCTTTGCCACTATGAATCCACTTATAGTGTTACTGGACGGCAGGTAAAATGCTATTCTGTTCTTTCTGTGTAGCGCCAAGAAAATGGGCGTCTTTGTTCTTCATATAACCTTTTCTCAACAAAAAAAGAAAAAGAAAAGGATAAGAAAAGAAAAGAAAAGAAAAGATTCTTGCTTTCTCTCTGGTGGATTTATTATCTGATCTCTCTGTGTCTTCTGCTATTCCTCATCATCTCTAATGGGAAAAAGCCTGCTGGAGAAATCATTTGGAACTTCATATCTTCTTCTTCATTATAGCTGAAATGATAAAGAATTCAACTTATGATGTCGTTTCTCTTTGCCTTTGTCATTTAATCCACTGGTATATGACGAACAAGGAAAAAAGCTCACTGAATGGTTTACGGTACAATATCAAGGGGACGCAAAAATTCTGTTTTTCAGAATAATTATCCAGACACAATAATGTCCAGTCGATCCATATTTGATCCTAGCTGTAGGGGATGAGAAGAGGTTAGTACATCAATTATATTTTCAATTGCTTCTCAAGAAGAGCTCGGTTGGATGAAGAGAAAATGAAGCGCATGTCATGACGCATGAAAATCCTTATTAAGATAACATCCAGTGCGTGTGCAGTATCATATTAAGAGAGCGTTTGGAGACTTCGGTCTGGTTTGCTAGTAAACTGTTGAATCTCACAAGTAATATGAATAGATGGGTAGACTATTTTCGTCTAATTTGTCGTTGGGGAAGATATGCCCATCTTTCGTTTGCCTGGTCCTGAGGATCATTAATCGAATTTTTAGCTGGACTGAATTGATCATTCGAGATTGAAATATATTCTATAGTTCAAGCATCAGCTCTGGCATCGGGGATCGTCTGGTTCTATTTTGCTCATTTTCCCTGTGTTAGAAGTAGATTTTTGAGCGCCCGAGTTCATTCTACAAGACTTCTCCTGTGATTAAGTTTTGTGTATGATCTGTATATATAGAGAGAGGTCTTTTGTTCCTGATAAAATCTTGCTTACTGAGAACTTGTGCCAGTTGCATTATTAGGTGACGGAGTGAAAATGATGACAGCTCTAGAGCTAATTATTTGATACAGAGAATGGCGAGTTTCTCTTTTTGTCTCCACTGTGGCATTGACCTGCGATTTATGAAATTCTCAATTTTCTTGATGAGCGTCAAAAGTAACAGTTCTGTGGAGGAAATTATTCGTTATTGTGTCCCACTGATCTTCTATCATCTTGCTTTCTTGAAAGGAACTGTAGATGAAGGACGATTCATATCTGAACTGATGGTGGACCAGACAAATTTGATTTCTTCTCTGCCGTGTCAAGCTGTTGCCTCCACAGATTGTGACTAAAAGAATTGAAGAGAAACTGTCCAAAGGACAAAGACCAGCACGAGTATTGAAAAAGTCAGGCTCCAGAGATTGGGTAGACTAGGCTAAAAAGCCAACTTGAATGAAACCAATGGTAATCTTGATCTGGTACGCCTGCAAGAAAAGGAAAAGTATAGGGACTCGGTCCAAGGGATAATAACCTGGACCTGCAATCGTTCATTCGAGCCAAAGTAATGCATTTGGAACGTGGGTCTGGAGTCTTTTATGGCTTTAAGCACGAGTCATGTGTATGGCAAGAAGGCTTCTTTTCGAAAACTAAAAAATCGTGGTTCTATATTTTTGTAGTTGCTATTTCTGACTTTTTTTCGTTTAATCTTAAACAGCCTCAAGATTTTCGAGAGTAATATTGCCTTAGGTCTAGTAGCTTGTTGAGATATCAGTCTCTGAGTTATCCGTGCCCACTGCCAGTGTCGGTGGTGGTGATGGACTGTAGTTACGTTCCTAAAAATGTTTTTTTGGCTGCTATCGCTTGCATATAGCCACTGTGTCCTTGTCCCTACCTTCAGCGTTGGGGAGGCCCAACTAGTTCTTGCACTCTCTCTTCCTCATTACTTCAGACACGTCACTCCCCTTGCTCAATCATCTCTTTTGCTGCTATGTGCATGTTGCCTGATCAATGACTGCTGCCATGACACACCCATGCCCCTGCTATGCTCACTCCTGTGATACTTGGGAATGTGAAGGTTGGATGAAATAGAATGGCGGGAAAGGGCCAGGAAAAGGGTTGGACAGGAGGGAAACAGAGAGGAGGAGAGGACGCCTAGAAAAAGATGGCTAGGGACAAATAGCATGGAAAATAAATGTGGGCTTTATGGGCTAGTCCCTACTTATGTTTGAACTTGGCTTGCATCGTATATGGGGCAAGCTGGGTCTAAAAACTTGTCTGGGATGGATTTTGAGGCCCATGACTGGGAAAAAAAAATAAAAAATAAACCAAGCTACGCTTTGAGCTTACCTGGTCCATTACTCTCCTTGGTCTAATACTAGAAACAAATCAGAGCAAAGCAATGCTATCCATGTCTGGAATACTGTGGAGAGATTCGTATTCAAGGTGAAATTATAAATAAAGTGATTTATCAATATCGTGTAATAGGAATTTCCTCAAACAGTCTTGTCCATCATCTTTCATGACTGTAAGTCATATACGAAATCGAGGATAAAATGTTGCTCTCATGGATGTATGCACAATATTATGACATCCTGCATGAGAATTTTTCCCCATATTGGTTTATCCTCGATTTCCTATTGGATGATGTCATTCATTATTCTATTCGATTTTTCTGTTTTTGGATATTCAAATTTATGATGGGATTCTCTTCATTGAATACTGCACGTGTTAAAATATACTGCCCATACTGTCTTTTATTGGACGAACGAAATACTATTTATTGTTCAGTACCAGACCTAGAATGCCTATTTAATTTTATTGTCAATGGTATCTCTAAGTTTACCACAAGTACCTTGACTCTATGTTTTTCCTTTGACTTTTTTTCCTATTTCAACTGTTTTTGGTTACAGTTTCAACAATAATTGGAACAATAATAGCATACCTTCTTGTCCCAATGCGACCACTTGGAGCGGACAGTTGGAAGATTGCTGCGGCTCTCATGAGTAGTTATATTGGCGGATGTATGTCAATTTAATGATTTTTTCTTCTTGTATTCAGTTCTTTTCTCTGGATATATTTTAGGGCTATTTCAAAATATTGAAAGCTCGATAATTTTAAATACTTTCGAAATGAAGTGAATTTTATGGTACTAAATTTCAATGATAAGTGTCAAGGTGAATTATAATAGCTTTGTTCATCATTGCATACACCATGGGCATTGAGTCTAGGAAGCTTTGTTTGGAATGTGGAGACTTGCAATGTCAAAAGTGAAAGACTAACAAGCATATACCTGTGCTTCAGTGTTCCTTTATGCTTGTCCATTCTCAGACTTTATGTTGATTGTTGGATAGATCTACAATATTTATTTCAAGAAGCTTTGTTCACAATTCTATAAACATTAGTACTCAAGATGAAAGAATTTACGGATATACACGTGCTCCAGTTTTTACTTTTATGCATATTTACTCTGTGACGTTGTGTAGAACCTCGTTCTTATAGCTGTACATTCTAAAAACCCACCCATTTCAATATAACAAACATCAACTCTGGTCTCAAGTTGTTTATTCTTTTGTTTCTCTCATTCATAGCTATTCCCTCAAATTTATTTCTGAATCAAGACAACATCATGTACGTAAAGAAGAACATATAAAATTCATTTGCATTCGGCATTATTTACCTCTTCAGAATGTCTGTACACTTGATTTGAGTGGGAAATGGGAAGAAGAAGATTTCGTATATCGCTGATGAAATCACCATTTTCTAAGAGTGACGAGAAGGTGAGAAATAATGACCCATTTAGCACTTGCAGGATGTTGGAGTATATGGGGGTGATACCTAAATCTTTGAATGTTGGCTTCATTTTATTCCGTCATTGAACAAACCTATTGGTGATTCTTGGATGTGTATTCAAAGGAATGTTGCTTCAAAATGAAGGTAACCCTTGATCGAGATATTACAAGTGAAGGTGGCCATCTAAATGCTCCTAAGAGAATCGGCCCCATGACACTGTAGCATTTAGAGATGCCTGCCAACAATGTGAAACTATCAATATTGATGCCATTTATGTGGGGAATTCGAAGAAGCATCCAATATGCTATAAATAAGATGGGTAGGATGCTCAAGATGAGCTCCTTTTCTGGAAAATGAATTATATTTATTACTTTGATGCGGTCATGTACAGAACTCGCGGTCAGCACTATATTAAAAGTCTTAGATAGTGTAAAATTAGGTCTTAGGGATCTAATCAATTTGATCTTTTTTTTTTCTTAAAGTGCATATTTAGTAGCTATCATTTTCCTGATCACTATCTTGTTGCTGTTCCTTTGATGTCTGGTTCATATTATTCCTTTCGAATTTCCGCTTAGATGTTGCCGAGAGTTGGACTGTCTGAAGCAAGAAAGCTATACAGCTCTCTTTGTATTTTATCATTGATTAATGAATTCTCAGAAAACTTTGATAATTAAAAATCCATGTGACATGATTAAATTTAAAACACAATTCACATAAAAGAAAAGATCAGGGTGGGTTTTGTAACAGATTGTTCTAAATGAAGTAATATAATCGAATTCAGATGAATAATACCTCGTCCTTAAGGCTGAATGCTAATAACGTCGAGCACTACACACGAAGCTATGTGGGTGGTACCAAACTTGGGCACAACAAGTACGATTTGGGGAAATACTGGAGCCACATTATTTGCCACGTTGTTGGCATGGGTTGTGAGTACCATTGTAATATTTGCTTGGATTGGTTCCATTAAAGACTAAGGAGGATGGAAATAATTAGGAGAGAAATCGAAATGAATGACCTAAATGCCGGCAGCTCCAGCTGGTTTTGACTTGCCATGAGTACATCTATTTGAGGTAGGGACTTGGTTGAGTGCAGATGAGTAGTATATTGAAAGATAGAACAATGGGCTCTTCATCACCTAGACCCAACAATGGGATGCAAGGGTAAGGGTAGCCACAAGGTGACGACTGAAGAGTTGTCTATTTCATCATATAGAAGAGGGAAATTACTTTTTGAAGTGGGTATCCTGTCCTCAGCATCACATGCTTATCTCTATTTTCTTTTGATTTCTTGTTAAAATATTTTTTATAGATGTTCATATGAGTTATATCTATTAAGTGTAGCATTATTTTAATTACTTTGAGTTGAGGTGTGAAGATGCACACTAATTGGTGTATAATTTATGTATTTTTTAACATTGATGCCATGTTATGACTATTAATGATATAATATGATTAAACTTTTGTCTCTATGAGAGTTACATGTTATGACTATTAAGCTATGTAAAACGTATAAATATTGACTCACTTTTATTACTCTGTAAATTGAAAGATTAAATTTAAATTAAGATACATAAATGAAAAGGATACGTCTCATTTTCTTATCATTAATAATTGCATTGCCTTTTCTTGGTAGTAACTTTGTGTTACATTTTGTCTTTAATTTTGAGATGCCATGGGTATGTTATCTCAACTGTCTTTTACTGCCATATCATATGACAGATATGTCATCATGTTTCCTTTTCCACACAAAGAGATAATACAATTTAAATTCATTAAAAATGTAAAATTCATAGTCTAATAATTGGCATATTTACACCTTTCACCTAATAATGATTTATCTTTTTTTATTTCGTTTTTCTCCCTTTGATTCTTAATTTTTGGTTTATAATCAATATTCTGCCCTCTCTTTATGGGGCTCGTGAGATTTATTGGCTTACTTGGTGTCTATTTTGAAGATCTCTTATTTTCTAAGGTTATTGCATCCTTAATAAAAAGATGTCGTTATTATCGCCTGCCTTTTGGCTCTGTATTTTCTACTCAATGTTTCTGTTGTCCATGTTTAACTCCTGTGAAAAAGTCGTTCAACAGGTAGTATCGGATTAAGCACAATGAAAGGAAGACGTTTTTAGATACCTTTTCAGCCTAATTGTGACATCTCTATAATATTATAATTTAAGTATTGTGAAACATCATGATGGGTTCTTGAGATTATGGAAATTGGATGATAAGTTCCTCCTTTACTCTCTTGAGATGGAAGATTTACACAGATATTTTTGGAATTTAGGACCTTGGAGGAACTTTATTGTTATCCGCTTAGGGTTGGGAGTCGTGATCTTTTTATTTGTCCTTGCATGAGGAAGTAGGAGAATGACCAAGAAGGGCAGGTGATCATCTTTGAATACTTTTACCATTCAGTGATGTACTAGCCCCATAAATCAATCTAGCATATTTAAGCAAACTTTTGAATGAAACAAAAAAATTGAGTTTAGTCTCTCGGCTAAATATAGTTATAGTATCTTGGGTTATTCTTTTGGTTCATAGTTGTTAGTGCACACTTATGACCCATTTAAACGAGGGATTTGATAGTTCATTCACACGTATAAGGAGCACTGAGTTTGCCAAATGTTTTCAGCACAATTTGTTGCAATCCACATGGTTTTCTCATTTGATAAATTCTCAAAATCTTCATAAAGTATTGTCTAACAATACTTTATGAAGTATTATTAGATAATTATTATGATAATTTCATTTTGACACCTTTCAAATGCAAGTTTATTAGATAATAAAACTAGAAGACATTACCTGTTTGAAACTATTAAAACGAGCTCCTTTTTCAGTTTAGGTGATTCTTTTAATAATTTTTCCAATAGTTTTATCTGATTGATGATGACAGCTCCTTCTTCTGAACTGAACCCTATTTTTCTTTCACCATGGTGGATGCTTTCCTTCTGTTTGTTACATATATATGATTCTGTACTTATACAGCCCTCTCTGGTAAAAAAATCAGCTGTCAACTATGTTGCTGTCTCAAAGGCTCTTGGTGTTTCTTCATCGGTTATGGCAGCAGGAGTTGCCACAGATAATATTATGTGTGCGATATATTTCTCTGTTATATTTGCACTGGCATCGAATATATCTTCAGAGCTCTCATCATCTAGAAAGGGTGCGCCATCATTATCTTCTTGCAATCCACTCATCTCTGTCATGCATATTTGATGATATTTTTTTTTGTCCAGTCTCTCGTGTCCTATTGATGTACAAATAACTTCACTAAGTATTATCTTCTTGGAATGTACTAATGACTAAATATTTATCCATCATCATTGTTGGTGTTTATATGTGATGTTTTCATATCTTCTGTCTTTCTTGTATAAAAGATGTGCAACAATTACTATTTGATGCTCTATCTTACTAAATTTAAATTTTCTTATCTGCCATCATCTGTAAGAAATAAAGAACTCTGTAAAACGCTGCTTTTATTATTTTTTGTTACTGTCTTTGTGCTATTTTTAGGAAATTTTAATATCCTATCATCTCCCATGCCAAAACACAATATGTTTATATTTCAGTGGTGTCAATTTTGTGAAGCAGAAGACACATCTCTTCAATGGTGTAAATGGCAGTGTTTTTTTTTCTTTAATGAATGCACTGGATAAGGCCACAAGTTAGGAAATAACCGTTTATCTTATAGATTTAAATCTTTCTTGGAGAGATTTTCGGTTATCAGGGAAAAATAGATGCCTATTTTATGAAGACAGCATTGCTAGTTTGGTAGATTTATTTAATGTCACTGACATCTGCAACCATTCTTGTAGTAATGGAATATGATCGACAGGCGAGTGAAAAAATATGAAAGAGTTTTTATATTTTAAAAACCCAGATGAAAACAACGGACCCTTATGGCTGATAGCTCTTCCTAGGATGTTTTTGAGGGACCACGTAGTTTATGGCTCCCAGGTCAAAGATCTTGAACCTCCTCTCCTTGCACACCCCCCAGGGCCACTTGAGCACCCCGGCGGCATCTTACTTAGTCATTCTTAGCTCATCTGTTTTAAACTTGGTCATGTCTCTTCACAGAATTTCAATTCCATTTTACCTTGTATGAACTATTGAAGTGTTGAATATTTGCAGATTGTTCAGTGGGCGTTGTATCTAAATTAGGAGAGAACCCCTCGGTTATGCAATTTGCTATTGCTCTCTCATTATCCTTTGCAATATGCCAAGTCTCTACTTTTATCTCAACGGCTTTGGGAATTCAAGGGGGCAGCCTTCCATGTGTAACTGTGGTTTCTGTCTTCCTGGCTACACTATTTCCTACACAATTATCTATCCTAGCACCTGCTGGAGAAACTTTTGCTGTGATCCTGATGCAGGTACATCTTCCGAAATGGAATGGCTCAAGCAAATGCATGAATATTTATTTTTAAATTTAGGAGATTTTTGCTGTAGATATTTCTGGTGACAGTGAAGTTTGAAAGTGTTACAATTTGTTGTGTGACAGTAATCCGTCAGGAGGAATAAAGTTTAATTGAACTTTTAGGTGTCCACGTTGGAAAGTATTTTAATATATTATTTCCCCTTTCTGACTCTTAAACAGAATGGATTCCTGTATATAAAAGCCGTCTCGTTATTTCTTTGTTTTTATTCTTCACACTCTGGTGTTTTGTCTCTGCCGTTCCATATGGTTGATGATCATTTTTCTGTGTCATGGGAAAGAAGATGCAAACACAAAGAGGATGCTAAAGGCAAAGGATAAGACAAGTAAACTAATAATATAGGAAGTGACCTAGAACTCGGATATCCATAGAAATATGAAAAACATACTAACAGTTTCCTCTCTTATTGGGGAATCATGTATGACATTTTCTGGATATCTGAAAGATTTTCTACACTGATCATCCCATTATGAGTCTTATGGAATTGCCTAAACAAATTTTGCGGCATCCCACATTGTACTGTTGAGGGCATTATGTCTCACCTCGAAACTCTTTGGGGAGATGTTTCTGTTTCCAGAAAATAACGAAAGAGGCTATTGTGGATGTCCCTCCAGCTCTTTTGAGTTCTCTGTGTGATGTCTTCATATCTTCATCCAATCCCTCTTTACCTCGACTGATCTTTTTTCTTTTTTCTTGGGCACATTGAATCTTCTGATTCTTGTTACTTAAGGTACCAACCACCGAAGCCTCTGGTTGAGTTGTATTTCTTCATTGTGCAGTGATGTAGAAGAATTAGAAAAAAAGGGAATGACAGGTTGCTCTGTCTTTCAAATTTGATTTTTGGTAATTTTCAGAGGCGCTTGTGAATCAAGGGTTTCCACATGGTCTCTCTAGATAGAAAGATACCCCTCTCTCTCCGTGGATCATACAGTGTGATAAACTACTAGAGTTCATTAAATCTGATCTTTCTTCAGTGAGATTTGATCGATGAAGTCTCCTGATATCCATCCCAGAAATGTAGTGCCGCAAAAACTATACACATTTAGTTGTCTTTTCCAAACTGATCCCAGATACTTTCATCTGCATCCTTTTCTTATCTTTGACATCATAAAACATTAAACACTTCATTTTTCAAACGATTCCAAAACAGTAGTATTTGCAACATTCCCCATTCTTTTCACCACTTAATCTCGAGTTGGATTTGATCTTTTTTTGAATTAATTTTTGAATTATCTTTTTTTCAACACTGTGTTAAACATTTCCAAAATGCGTATGCAGCTGTTCTTCACTGTCATTGGAGCGAATGGTAGTGTGTGGAATGTGGTAAACACAGCACCAAGTATCCTTGCCTTTGCTTCTATCCAATTGTTTATACATCTATCTTTGATACTTGGTGTTGGGAAACTCCTCGGTTTTGATAAGAAGTTGTTGCTCTTGGCCTCAAATGCCAATGTTGGGGGACCCACAACAGCCTGTGGAATGGCTACGGCTAAAGGATGGGGTTCTCTTGTTGTACCTGCTGTTCTTGTAGGTATTTTAGGGATATCAATGGCTACATTCCTTGGAATTGGTCTTGGATTAACTGTTCTGAAAAATATGTGAGAATATATGTCCATTTGCGCAGCCTGCTTTTTACCTGGTCTAGCAAGATAATTTTCCTGTTGCCTTGTTTGTTGGGTATGTTCATAGTTATTTATTTTTCTAAAAATGGTACCATGACGTTGCTCTCTTACATCATTCCAAATATGCCACCAGTATTCAATTTTTCGAATAAGATATTCCCCATTCAGTAAGTGATTTGTCTTCATTTTCTTCTTCTAATGTGGTATCAATGTCATGGTCACATCCATGCCGGAGAAATAGCATCTTATTGTCACAGATATGAGAAGGAAATACTTTTTTCACTACACGTATAATAAATAATATGAACCTTCATCTCTCTCTTCTTCTCTTCAGCAAAAGACTTCTCCTGGAAACCTTGTGGAACCTCAGCCTGGGAAGAAGTGGGCTGAGGATATATCTTCAAGGTAGTTGCCATCTCTTCCCACCTGTGGAAGTTGTTTGCAAGCAGAGGAGCTCTTAGCTGAGAGGGGCACGTAGATGGATAGAAATATCTGTTCAAGAAGACAAGTTTTCACGAGAACTGGAAACCCAGTGCATATATTACCCACATACAAACATAAATCTATGGTACAAATGGGGCACTGCCATTTCTGCAAGGCGTAGGGCCCACACAGACCACCAAGACCCGTAGGAATAGTAAGTAGATGTAGTCAAGATCAAGCCGTTGTAGTCTACACATGCTTTGGCCAGCTTTATAACCTGTGGCACTCATAGGGCATCTTAAGATCTGGAGTTGATGCACGAGGATGGATAGGTGTACTGCAAGGTTGAATAATTTTTAAAATCTCAGTAGGCCTTCCTGTTGGTGAACTTTATTTTTCTGCTCAAGCTTAGAAAAAATAGGTTTGATTAGATCTAGTTGAACCTCTGAATCCACCTGGCTCATTGATGCCGTCAATATGCATATATGCTATTTTAACAATAATAATTATTATTATATAACTATTTTTAGCTTTTTTTTGTATTATAGTTTCAGTATTGAGAGAATGACGTATGTTCATAATGAAGTACACATGCCATAGATCAGTAATGGTTGGGGTGTTTCTCCAAAATAATTTGAATCATAAGAATCACAAAATTATAATGATATTTCACTAGTTTTTTTTATTGGTCATAGAATAAAGGCACTTTGTAATCTGCACACGTGATGAAATACACCATGGAAAGACATGACACATCTACCACAGTTCAATCTTTCTCCATTGGTGTGTAGATTATGTAGTTAGATATGCTTGATTTAGTCTGGCAAAGATTGTGTTGAAGTCATCATCAATCTTGAGTGGATCTCAGATGGAAGTTGATCAATATTGGCCCTCACTATCTAGAGGTTACAACAATAGTAACTCTTGCATGCACCACCACCTTGCTCTTTTGATCTTCATCTTCTTCTACCAATTCACATCTTCACATCTTACTCCATCCTTGGTCAGAATTGTGTTTTGTGCCTGGACGAATAAAGGTCAATGCAGCCTTCTTGTGCTTATTCATCTTCATCACAAGGCATTTGCTAAACAGATTTGTCACATATAGGCAATGCATTCGTATGGCATCTTCTTGTGCACAAAGTTGTCTTGTGTAATCGGACTATTGGCTTTGGTAGGTAATTGTATGTTAATTTGCATGAGAACACTGTTAATGGCTACCTTCAATGTCATAGTGCATACCTCTAATTGCCAACCAAAGTTGGCTAGCCATAATGTTAGCTCACACATCGCCTAAATTTGAAATTATTGATAGTCACTTAGTAGTTGAGTGTACACTACCACTTCAGATATTCCCATCCATGACAAAGTTTGTTAGTATTGCTTTCTATTATCAATAGTTATTAAAGAATTTAAAATATAAGTAAGCCAAGGATCAAATCATAGCATGCCCATAGTAAGGGCGGTGGTCTTTCTATGGTGACACAAGTTTTTGTTTAGTCCTTCACACATTATCTCTCCTAGTAATGTGGTCAAATTCAAGGATCAAGTCAAATAATTGTGAACAAATAAGTTTTTAATGTATCACACATTGTCATTGGTCCTTGATTAAGACTAAGTAATTGCCACTTTTCAAAATCAATCTTGGAGAAGAACATAACACCTCTCAATTTGTTAAGAAATTGCTTAACATTATTCAGTACCAAAGTGATTGGTATGTCGTAGTGGGCTTTAATGACCTAGTGCCTCCAAGATGTTCACTACTTATTGGTTAATACATGTAAACATTTTTATAGGACGTGTCTACCATGAACTCCATCTCATGGTCAACTTCTTGTCTAGGTGGTTGCCAAATAGCATTTTTTAAAAAATAAGATACAAAGTCTCACAAGAATTGTGTCATGCTTTTAAGAAATTTGTCATAGCAATAGATTATAGGTGGTCCCAAACATTGAGATCCTTTGTCCCCCTCTATTTGTAGAAGCCTTGTAGATGTTCATCATACCAATATTGGATAAGTCCCAAACATTTCTGATTGGTGGATTCATGGCTCAATTGTTTCTTCTTTGACTTTTATTTTGTCACTATTATATCATCTCACATCTTAATCTTCAAATGAAACATCAGTCACAATCCATGCTACTACGCTGATAGTTTTGATACAATTGTTAATTAGCATGCTCAATTACCTATTTTTTTCTCAAATAGTAAGTTGTTCATTGTGTAATTTTCTATTATGGTGATTCTAATATAGTGGCCAAAGACATCTGACTGTAAATGCATTTACTATTATTCTATAAATGTCATAGAAGTATCCTCAATAATGGATTCACAAATTGGAAATTTTATTTTTAATACTCATTGTATCCATCCCATCATTATGCTGCTTACCTTAGTTTTTGGACATCACAAGTACTAATGTGGATATTTTAAGATGACACATTTTGAAAGTGACATCTTGACGGGGCCAACCAAGGACATGGGTCTCCCAAACATTTGTCATATTGGCCCCCCATAGCCATGTTCTTGATGTCTAAAGGTAGTGAAAAAATTACTTCACATACTCCAACATTAACATTTGGGAGATCTTTGTGAACAAATTGGAGTATTTTATTCTCTCAATTAAATGTGTTGGAAAAAAGTTGAGCTTACTAGTTGAATGCTAACTTGACTAGTCAATGGTTGGACCTCAACAACAAGTGACTGATTAAATAGACATGAAGTCCCTTCACCCAACTACTAGTGTTAGTAGCTATTAAAGGGCCCACTACCAATAGCATCTTCAGCCATTTACTCCTCTAAGCAATTTGTCAGCATTGAATTTTAATTTCCACCAACATCAATGCAAATACAACCCAATGTTAAGAGAATTGTTCCTTTTCTAAAAGCTCACCCTTTAATGGATACGGGGTCATCAAATGAAGTTTGCAAGATACATGTAAAGCTCATCATGCCCTATAGTATACTTGTGGATTTCTAATTTGACATGAATTATTTGTTGTATAATAAATCACATAAATTTAAAATTTATAAATTTATAAAATACTAATTTTTAGATTTTTAGAAATAGAGTATAATAAATAAATCAATTATAATTTTTTCAATATTTTAAAAGTAGTGAAAAAAAATTAAGCCGATCATAAGTATGTAATATAATATTTGGTAATATTTTAAAAGAATACTAGTTTTTATGATTTTTAAATTAAATAATAAATATAAAATATATTTAAAAATTTTTAAAAAAAGAAAATAAGGGTGCAGTTGTTAGGATGATGTTAGTGCCTCAATAAATGTGATTCATTCAAAATTAGAGTTTCACTTAACAGTTTTTACATAAGTGATTACAGACAATTGAATTGATCAAATTAAGATATGAAAAATCTAGAAGAATCATAATTGAATGAAATTTTGAAAGTTAGAATCACACAAAGTATCTTTAAATTAAATAAAAATTAAGTTAAAAGTAGAAAATGTAGAGTTCTAGTTTCGTGATAGTGATCATTGGAATTCTGTGTTCGGGATGATCATTAAATGATCTACATGGCCTCAAAGGCTCTTCTTAGACATCAACGAATTATATATTCATTGAATCTCCTTTTAAAGTTTAGAAAATAATAAGTAAAAGTTTAAAATAGTTAAAAAATAGTAAAATAAAATTCTATCATCATGGTGGTAATACATCGAAATCTTGAGCACTCAAGAAGATTATCACACAATGTCCATGACTTCAAAGGTTTTTCTTAGACAAAGATAATGTAGACAATTTCTAAATTTTCTTACAAAGTGTAAAAAATAATGAAGTGGGTTGAAGAATCATCTCTAGTGATTATCATTTGGTAAAGCAAAAAAATAATGACTTTATAGATCTTTACTAATTGTCACCCGATGAAGATAAGTTGAATAGAGGTATGATACATCTTAAGGAGCTTCACCTTAGGCTCACATAGTAAGATGAGACTCTTTATCACATATGATATGTTCTCAAGAGATGACAACTTGTCTCCTAGCGATCATCTTTTTCTTGACAATAGTTTATTTGTTGATCAATCAAAGATGATTTACTCGATAGATTCATAATCATTTTATCTAAAATTATTTGATAATTTTAGTAATGATATTTCATAAATCACGATGATCAGATTTTTACTAATGATTGAGTAATTATGATAACTTAATCATTCATTAAAAATTTATAAAAAAAATTATAATATAATTAAATAAAAATATCACTTTTGGCTATAATAGTATGCGAATCATTGCAGGTTGTTTGCCTATATAAGAGTGTGCAAAATAAAAGATATTTTATGAGAGTGTCTCTTATAAAGTAATATTATGAGGGTGTCCCTTTCTTATAAATAAAGGATATTTTAGATATTAAAATCATTAATAACCTTGCAGGAAGCTATGACGTTAATTTAGTCTCACATCAATTATTTTTTAAGTTTTGAGGGCTATATATAATAACACAAGATTTTAGTATCAATAAATCTCTCTTATATGTGTACAATTATTCTTTGCCCCATGCTTGACTAGCCACTAATGACGTGTCCCCTATTAATCTATCCTTAGCTGCTTGAGGCTCCTGCTCATGGCTCCACTTGATTGTGCTTTCGACTTGCTTGCGTGCTCGATTCACTGACGAGTTGAATTATTTTTTAATATTTTATTTTTATTTTATTTTTATTTATCTATTTTAAAATATGATTATATAAATTCACATAAAATCACATAATTAGCTAAAAAATAATATTAACTAACTAAAAACTAATTTTTAGAATTTAATTTTAAATATAAGTCTATTTATCATAAGTTAAAACTTAAAATATATTATTAATTAATTGTTAACTCATGATAATAAAGACTTATCATAAACTTAAATTATATTTTTAATATTATATGCACACCTAGTTAATGATCCCTATCATGCATGGAGGGTGCTACATAAAGATCTAACACTAAAGGGCCTTATGTTATACTATCTATGACTTAGAAAGCTGATCATAGTGGTGAAAGAAATTTAAGAGGAGATAATGGCTGTGTTCAGGAGATCAGAGTTACCGATCTCTAGCGGAACCGAGGGTAACTGGTTCGAAGAGTGCATGGAAGAGACTACTACTACCATCGCTTTACAGGCTAGGCTCTCTGCGATCATCAGTAATCGGCGGCGGAGATATAGGTAGGATGGTGGTGAATTTGGCGATGCTACGGATGTAGAGGGAATCCAGGCCGAATTTGGGGATCCTGGACACAGAGATCAGGAGATGCTTCTGGAAGTCGGTCACCCCACGGAGAGGGCCGGTGATTACCGAGGAGGGCTCGACCGCGCCGTCGCCGTCATGATCCCAGGCCAGGGGGGTTGGGGTTCTGCTTCCGGGGGAAGCGCTGAGCCCGCATTTCATTGAGATTTTATATATGTATCCTTCCTATTTTCGGACCCTTTCCGGTCCTCCCAGAAGCCACGACATTATCATATAAAAACAGCCTTTCGGCACACCAGGCACGTCGGCATTACGTAATAAACCAAACGGCGCCACGTCGGCAAAGTTTCGGGACGCATGGACGCCTAGGAGAATTTTAAGGGAGCGGACCACGCCAACTCAGCACTCAGAGATAGGGAAGGCGGATCCGAGTCGGCCGCCGCCGTGGCGGTAGCACTTGACGTTGACGGCGTAGGGGCCAAGACGGACGCGGTTGTCCTCACCGCCGAGGTAAAAGCACAGCGTGTATAGCGCGAGCTCGAACTCCGGGCTGACCCCGATCAAGCTGCTCGAGACGCTCTTGAGGACGCCGTTCCATTCGAACTGGATCGTCAGCAGCTTGGTTTCTTCGTCCGGCTGTGGACACAGAGAAAAGCCCAATCCATGATCGTCACCATGCACACATCTAGAGATAGATAGATAGATAGATAGAGAGAGAGAGAGAGAGAGAGAGAGAGAGAGAGAGAGAGATTTTGGAACTCCTCCAAGCATTTGGGGGTCGGATCTTGAAGGAAAAATGCGTTGCACTTACAGATTCACCACGCCTCCTAGGGAAAATATAACCACGGTAGTCCACTCTCCCTTTGGCCTCTTCCAAGTAAAACTGCGGGGGGATGAGGGGAAGTTGGACGGCGTTCAGTCAGATCTTCAGCAAACGAGCGAATAAATCGACAAGGTAATCAATCAGTCTACGAAACTTTCCATGAAAAGGGAAGGAACAGAGGAGGTGTGCTTCAAAACCGAGTAAATACCCATGAGAAGACATGCTAAAAATAGAAAGAGTAAACAGAGGGAAATAATAATGCAGGGGAAAGTGGGGGATTTCATCGAGATCGACCTGTAACCAGTTGTGGAATCCAGACACTTGGGCTTCTCCCACCTCCTTGATTTCACCGACGAAGACGTGCTCGAAGGCAGATGAGGAGCCGGATACACCGCCCCTGCCGTAGAGATCGAACCAGAGAGCTTTCAAGGCCCCCTTGAACTCTCCGAAATCCCCGGACACCACTCTCCTACCAGAAAGACACTTGAAGAGATATTTTATGGGAGCAGTCCTGCTGATTTCTTCTATGAAGGCGTCCTGCTCGTGCTTCTCCTCAGGCGTGACGACCTCCCTTCTGCCCTGACTGGGTTCGTAGTTATCCAACAGAGAACAGAAACGGGAGTAAGTAGGTCGTCTGAAGACGTCGTCGCTCACCCAGCTGAACAGGCTTCCAGACGCCATGTCTTCCTGTTGGTACGTCTTCTTCCCCTCTCCACAGTCAATCTTATAATCCTTTCCGGGCGTCAGACCGTTCAGATCGAGCGTCCACAGCCTGCTACAGGCCTTAGACAGGTCGTCGAGTTCCTCCTGTGTGGGTTCTACATCGACACCACCATCAACATCCGGTGAATACTCCTGCTCACCTGCGGGCACCCTGTATCCGCTCCATTGGCCCGCGGGAACCTGCCAATAATGGTAACGAGAAAAATTCTGAATCCCGGGCCTTGCTACGGGAAATCATGCATGGGGGTGGGAGGTTCCATTTGATCTAGGCTGTGAGAAACCAATGTGCATGGATAATCCCATCTCCCCAAGTGACAACGGAGGGATTCGATTCAAATCACAAACTCTTTTATCTCCCTCCCTCCTGTGTAGATCATGTATTTGAGAAATTTTAAAATGAAAAAAATGCAGCAGAATCTTATTTCTCCCTCGGCATCATCTCCAGCTCAACAGATTCAATTACGACTTTTCAAAATCAGGAAAAATAGTCATCCGCTCACATGAGCTGAAAAATCTTTCCGGAAATAGGACGTGATGGGAAGATAAAACCTTTCTGTGGGGTCGGGGCTGCTGCTGGTGCTTCTTACGGCCGCCGCCGGCGATTTCCCAGTCCCCGTCGCCGCTTCCTCCGCCTGGCTCACCCTTCCACTCTGAGGAATCACCAGATCTGCCCCAGGGGCTCGGCCTCTGATCGCCGCTCTCCCCCTGCCATTGGTGCTGGTGCGAGGGACGGGGGTAATCGTTCCCCTGCCCGTCGGAGGAGACCACATCTGCCCAAGAGGACCTCGAGTGCGCGTCCCGCTGCCCTCCCCCTTCGCCTTCCTCTTGACCCCCATTCCGCCGGTGCTGCTGGCGGTGGTTGTCGTCTGCTTCTCCGTGGCCCCCTCCTCCGAGGGCGACGTCGATCAGCCCTTTGATCAGGCCCTCCATCAGACCTCCCACCGGAAAGACGGGAGAGGAAGATCTGGATAGGTCTCATGGACGACTGGGGAAGAAGAAGAAGAGGAAGTCGTTGAGAATGGATTGGTAGTTAGGGGGGCCCGCCGATGATCAATGTGCGGCGGGAGACTAAATAAAATAAAGTCATAATATTGGACATATCTTCTACTTCGGTTTATAACTTACTTTAGTAGTCTCATTTAAATTTTAATTTTACATGTATCCTTCGTTTTTTAACAGGTATATGCTTATCATTGATCCCCTTCAATGTTTCTGAAGAAAGAGAAGAATATGTTTTTTTTTTACAATAGGTCCTTGCGTAATATAGATTCTTCCAAGGTACCATCAGATAATGTAGAAAAAGCTGTTTAACTTGGCGCAAAAGATGAGACAGACCGACTGTCTCTGTCGGGTGCAGCCTAAAAGACATTATCCAGCGAAGGAGGAGGAGGACGTTTTTTTATTATATTCCCGGTCAATTATTGTGCCGACAAACTAAATTTATTGGTTAACCGCGTGAATGCTGACGCTGTACTCAACCCACTTGGAGAAACCGAGACAAATATGGTCCAAGCCCAAATCAAGCTAAGATCATGCAAAATTGGGAATGGGCCTACCCATTTGGTTCAAAGTTATCGACCCGATTGCTTGCATAACTCTAATATCCAAGCCAACCGATTTATTCCTAAGATTTGGGGCAATGCCTGAATCAGAAAAGCCTAATAGATAAGATAGTCTGTGATCACCTAATCAATCACCACCAGACTGCAACAAACAAGAGGGATGAGTCTTATGAGTCACACTATCTTATGAGTATTTTTATAAAGTTTTTTGTAATCTTGCTTGTGTTTCAAAAGTTCCCTTTTTGTGCCATTTTTGTTCCAGAAAATCCAATTTTCACTGGCCTACACCTATCTTATTTGGAGAGAGAATAAATATCTGGATTATTCATTTACCACCAAGAATGTGGCCTTGAGTTTTATGTTTCCATTAATTAAAATGATTGAAATATCAATATCACATTTTATTTTTTTTATTAACTTCATTCTAGTAGTATAACTTGATCCTTCCTTTAGTAATACTAAATACCATCCAACTTCCTAAAGTGGTCTTATTTCCTATTTTTTAAAATTTATTTACATAACGTTTTCACCATTTTAAGATCTGGGTCTCATTCTAAGGTAGAAAAACAACAGCTCAACTTTCATTCGACGCAACACAAAAAGTTAGGCCCTTGTTTTGTTTTGGATGCCATCTTCATTTGAATCAAGGAAAATAATTGTCTCTTCTCTCTAGTACAATCATATTAATAAATCAATTCCAACTCTCTGAAAATGCGATTCAAAAATCACCTTTGTTTTAGAATGAGGCAAATTCACTACTATCACATATAACGGAAACAACTGATTCGATGATTTAGTTTTCTTGGGTTTTTTCTATTTACTAAAGAGTTTTCGCTTTAATTCTTCATTGATATGCTTCTCATGGGTTATAAGTGACATGTGAACTTATTTTCATAGACAAAAGCCTTGGGTCTTTGGCTTCTTTACTTCCTATCTTCATGATATATGCTGTCATCTTTGTATGGAAACCCTAGTGAAGACCCACACAACCATATAGACAAATTTTTAGAGATTGTTCCACAGAAAAAATTCAAAACTTTGCTGATGTTGCCTTTAGTCTAACGTTATTCTTATTTTCCTTGAAGGGAAAAGCTAAGCATTGATTATCCACCTTAGAAAAGACTATGAGGAGGGCGATAACAAGATTTTCTTAAGCTCCTCAGAAACTTATTCATGAATCATGGAAGAGGCTCAAGGAACTATTAAGTAATTGTCCTCATCATGGGACATTAAAGTGACAATTAATACAAATATTTAATGAGGGTTTGATAGATCAATATAGATGAATGATAGATGCAGTATGTGAGGTAACATTTATGAGTATGAATGAGGACGAAGCATATCATTTATTTGATGTCCTTAGTGACAATTTGATTAACCATGCTTATTTATCATCTTATGAAAGAAATATTACACCTTCCAAAAGAAACCGTATGTATGAGTTTAAAGCATATCTGAAGAGAATGATTTATGAATAGATATAAGTAAGATTCATAGATGACTAGAGAAAGTAGATAATTTAGCTGGGAAATTTGACCAAATCCTAGCTGTGCATAATGGTCAAACCCACATATTGCTCAGCACACCTCAATTTCATAAATTTTGTTCAATCTAATACAAATCCCACTCATTCTATGCAAATTCGACTCATTCTGAATAGGAGTGTCCAATAGCAGTCTAATTTTGCTCACTTTTCATGAATTTATTATGATGAAAATAATAAAATAGTAATAGGGGGAGTGACCTGTTGACCGTTGACCTACCTTTCAGGCAGGGAGCCGACCGGAAAAATCAGAAAGAATACCGGAAAAATCGAGAAAAATCAGAACTAAACGAATGATGATACTAAAATCGTGATTTCTCCATAAATACTTGCCAGATTGATCTGAAATTTGACACGACGATTTTTTACTTATTAATGAATGACTCTATATTCTAAATTTTTCATTTTTTATAGGAACTAGAGTAAGAAACGAGAGTCAAATGCTGAAGATGAAAAATAAGGAAAAACGGTTAAATCAAAACTAAATAAGAGATTTCCGGACCTAGGTAAGGATAAAAGGAGGGTGGTGGGGTAGAAGCCAGGGGGCCAAGAGGCACGAAAAGGCAAGGGAAAATGCTGAAAAGCAAAAGAAATAAGGAGGGAAATCTCAGAAGCTAGGGGCTGCGATCTAGAGTTCATTGCATTTTTAACTTTAATTATTATTTCATTTCATTTCTCTTTCTATTCTTTGGGTGACAGACATTGATCAGAAAGACTTTACATTCGAATTGATTTAATTTAAATATTATGTTCTTCTATTTTCTTGGGTGACAATCAAGGAAAAGAGAAGACTTTCATTTTTGTTCTTAGTTTTCATAATTACGAATTTAGTTAAAAATAAGATTTAAATTACTTACAATTTTGGGTGACAGACGAGGAAAGGAAGAGACTTTAATTCTAAGTCATAAAGTTTAAATTATATTTTATATCTAATTAAAATTTTTATTAGTTCTAAAGGACTTTGTTGTTTGAAAAACATCAAAGCTGATTTTAGTTTAGAATTTATTTTTTATCTCAAATTTAATTGTTTTAGTTTACCTTTGATTGACAACCAAGTTTTTTCTACATTTCATTTTTTTAATTTTATTTTAGATCTTAGTTTTAATTAGTTTAATACATTATCCACGTCAATAGAAGTCCTTCTATTGACAACCACCCTTCTCATCTTTTTATTCCATAATCCCTAGTCTATTTTTATCTATCCATGATTTAATTATCTCATCATTTAAACCCTTTTTCTTATTATCTATAGCTGATAAGAGAACTAAATTTACAAAAGTAATTGAGGAGGAGGATAGTAAGTATTTAAGAGAAGATTAAATCATTTCTCACATCCCATTTCATTTTGTTCCTTTCTTTTTGTGTTAGAAAACTTAAAAATACAGCAAAATCAATTCTCATTATCCCTTGGTAATTGACTTCAACTTCACTAATACTAAACTTTATTTAGAAAGTTCAGTTATAAATTTTATTAGTTTTTTATGTATTAAAACTAACGACTAATGCATAAACACAACCATAACCCATTTTCCAATGCACATAATCTAGGTGGAAAAAATCACCCAAATTTGTCATGGAGAAATCCTCAAGCTGCTACTTATGGTCAAGTATCTCAAGCAAACAGCCCAAGGCCTCATCATGGGATATTAAAGTGACAATTAGTACAAATATTTTATGAGGGTTTGACAGATCAATATAGACAAACCATGAATGCAGCATGTGAGGTAACATTTATGAGTAAGAATGAGGATGAAGCATATAAATCATTTGAGATCCTTAGTGAAAATTTGATTAATCATGATTTTTTATCATCTTATGAAAAAAATATCAGACCTTCAAGAAACGGGATTTATGAGGTTAAAGCATGTGATGGGAATATTATACAAATGGATATAAGTAAGATTCATAGATGACTAGAGAAAGTAGACAGCTTAGCTAAGAAATTTTATCAAGCCCACATATCATTCAGCACAGCTCAATTTCATATAGTTTGTTCAATTTGTGCAAATCCCACTCATTCTGAACATGAGTGCTCAATGCCAGTCGCACTTTTACAAGAGTAAGTGCAGGCTGTGCAAGGATTCTCCAAGAGCAACCATAACCCATTTTCTAGCACATACAATCTAAGCTAGAAAAATCATCAAAATTTCTTGTGTATAAATCTCCAAGGTGCCACTTATGGTCCTACCTCAAACCTTTAGTTATCTCAAGCAAACAGCCTAAGGCCCTTACCAAAATCAATCACCCCAACAAAACCATTATAGACGATTGTAGGCCCAAAATGATGGGGTTAGACCCTCAACACACAATGGCTATACAACACAGCACTAGAAGGTTTGAGGTATTTTGTGGCCAACTCCAACAATTAATATTAGCACAACATAAATTTATTTCAAGGTTAGAAACACAAGTGGGATAATTAGCATAAACAAGTATGAAATGAGAATTAGGATAGCTTCCAAGCCAACCAATAATCAACTCAAGAAATCAACCGCCACCTGGTTTTCCATCTCAAATCCCAATAGTCAACCAATCCAACCATCACATACAACCTCAGCCCCCTCAATTTGAGAATGTGAAAGCCATATGCACCCTTAGAAATGGAAGAATTCTTAAAGACCCACTCCAATCTAGAAAAAGGGAGGAAACATCTAAAGGAAAACAAGTTATGAGTGAATTAATTTTTTTTTGAATAGGGGTTAATATCCCAATATGGAGTGAACTTTGATCTAGGAGAATATCAATCACTAGTCTCCTATACCACAACACCAGAAGCTCATCACAAAAGAAGGTAGCGCAAAATAAAGAATTAGTTGAGGTCATTC